GATATCTAGTTTTTACCTTCTTAGAAAACTCAACGAATTACTTAACTGCATTTTTTGCGTTGTTTATAATAGACGTGACCTAAAGGTGTTTTTGAAATGTTCAATGTCTCTCTCTTTTTTGGCTGCGTGATATGATTATTAACGTTTATTTTTTGTTTGACAGAAACAATTCGGTTTACTTTGTCGACGTTACAATTTTGAAATGTACTATAGATGTTTTGGAACGTAACGATTGAAAAACACGCTTAAAGTGTCACGAGAATTTAGTTTTGTTAATAGAATATCAAGCTAATTTGTTGACAAACCACTTTAATAGTTATGAAAATTAATATCTGTGAAGTACTAGAAGAAATGCAATTAAAATACCGCATCATTCTCATGCATGTATTAAATGAATGTTATAGCTATGTAAACTCTAAGATTATTCTTAATTTCTTTTATCGTAGATCCAAATAGACGAAAATTATAATTTGCGTAATTACTGGTGGTAGGACCTTTTGTGAGTCCGCACGGGTAAGTACCACCGCCCCTCCTGTTTCTGCCGTGAAGCAGTAATGCGTTTCGGTTTGAAGGGTGGGGCAGCCGTTGCCACTATACGGAGACCTTAGAACTTATATCTCAAGGTGTGTGCCGCATTTACGTTGTGGATGTCTATGGGCTCCAGTAACCACTTAACACCAGGTGGGCTGTGAGCTCGTCCACACATCTAAGCAATAAAAAAAGAAAGGCGACTTTCTTCAGAAAATTCATTCATCCAAAATAGAATATTATAATCTCTGTTTTAAGTTTACCAATAGCTTCCTCGCTTACAAGAACAAAAAGATTGAATCAATGGAACACCCACGAATCGTCATACGTTAAAATACTATTAAACACTGCTTATTGTCACTACAAAAAATTCAACTCGGGTTTTGTACAAAATACGTGTTCGTACCGAGGCTTGTGTTTTCTCACGGTGACTTCCGTTCCTTGTGTGACACGACGCGACGCCTGAATAGCCGGATTTCATTGATCAGACCTTAGAGAACGAATACACCAAGAAAAACAAATCTTGACGTATTGTTTGAGTTATTTTTCATTTATTTATTACATTTCATGTAATATTTACGTTGTACTCAATGTATAAGGAATTCTCTACCAGTCAACCATAGGTAATGCCGAGTAAACAATGGTAGGTGCATTGAAATATGAATTAAATTACAAATACATACATACCATACATAAGTGTAAGTGTATGTGTATGTAGAAGATATTATATGTTTTATAAAAGCTATCAGTGTTTTATTGTAAAAAAAAAAAACAGTAATCATTAAAATGACTTATTAATCTATTGTCGATAATTTGTATCTATTTTTGTTTAATTGAGAAATGCTTTACCGAACTACTGCAGCCTATAACGGATTCCGGTTTTTTTTTTCAGATTTTCTTTAGAAATTTCGTGTTTATTTTGTTTGAGTGCGAAATATGTTTGTAATAAAAATAAAAAAATAAAAAAAATCTCGTGGACCCGAATGAAGATGAATATTCGTACATAACAGGATATAAGAAGCCGGTCATTTATAATAATCTCATATGAGAATGAACGGTAAAGAGTATAATGACGTTTAAAATAATGTACAAGGTTTACTGTTCGACTTTGTGTGTGAAAATTGTTGTAAATTTTTTTGCTCTTTAAATCTGTTCGGTAAAACCATTTTATTTTCTCCCCAATTTTTCTGTTTGTTTTTTTTTTTATGTTTTATTAGTAAACATAATTTTACGATGGCTATCTGTATAATTTGTTTAAAGATTAAAAAATCGTATATTTAATAAAAAAAATTTTTTTTTTTTTGTAAATAAAACAATTTTTATGCTTTAATTTCACGTTTATTTTTTTCATTCTATGGTTTTCGATGTTTCCAATGCCTGCTTGAACAGTTTTCGTAGGCACGGACGACTGTGTGATCGTTGAAGGAGAGGAACAAATTCGAGACTTAGCCTCAAAGTAATTTTAATTATGTATACGACGGGCGGAAATCGAAGTAGATACTATTTTGAGATACACGTGAACAGAGTCCACAGACATAGTTTCACACTAAGTTTCTCGCCGGATCTTTTCAGTGGGTCGCGATTCTGATCCGATAGTAGATTCAGCGACGCACTGCTCTTATTGGGGCCAGGGTTACCGATTCTCTCAGGTTGAGCCCGTGAGCTCACCTACCGGTCCGCGCGAATTTGGAATGGCCCCTTAAGCAACCAACTATTTGGTAGGGAAAAAAAAATTGTGAAAGGTTTGGATGTAGTCCTGATCATTGTTAAAAGTTCTTAGCGATGATAACCACTGCCAGCCAGATTATGCCCTCAACTTCTACAAAGCTCAGCTTAATTTAGATGTAAATAAAAATTAAAAACCATACGTTTCGTAAAAATTAAAACTTTAATTACTTATTTATAAACGTGAGCACGTTTTAACTTTCTTAATAAAAAAATGCTTCATACATATTTTTAAAGTTGTGTGTAACTGTATGGTGTTAGAATAATCTATCATCTTTCGTAATCGTTGTACACGTAAACTTGCAATGCAATAATGTAACCTCAAAAATTTCATAAATCTATTAGCTTTAGTGACGTACAAATGGCCTTAGGGTTTGCGGTAATTTTATAGAAATACTAGCTGACCCGGCAAACATTGTTTTGCCATATATAAGATTTCTAGGGAATTTCTAGTGTAGAAAAAAAAACTAACTCATTGTAAGTGTGTAAGGATGTGGTAAATGAGTGAAAGAGGTATGTAGTGCTGTGAACGATGAGGGAATATATAATAAAAATAACAAAACCTCATTCAACCACATAATACCTCATTATAACAAAAAAAAAAGTTCAAATAAAAAAAAATATGTTAGGGGTGGACAACCCTAATCACTTAGGGGTATGAAAAATAGATAGTAGCCGATTCTCAGGCTTACTTAATATGCATAAAAAATTTCATGAGAATCGGTCAAGCGGTTTCGGAGGAGTATGGGAACGAACATTGTGACACGAGAATTTTATATATTAGATTTACTTTTCTGCTTTTCTGCTACTACTATCGCTACTACTTATATAATTAAAACCGGGAGATTTGACCGTGAAAGTAGTTTCAATTAAACCGAATACCAAGTTATAACGATCATCATCATCATCATTAGCCTGTAGCAGTTCACTGATGGACAGAGACCTCTCCAATTGCACGCCACTGAGCATAATCCTCGGCTTCTCTGATCCAGCTCTCGCCAACTACCCTGCATAGGTCGTCACTCCACCCAGCCGAGGGCCCGCCCACTCTCTGATTAAATATAATACTTTAGTCAAATCATGTTCAACGATAATATCATTCCAGGACCGGTAATAGTCGAATCCGCGGTACTCGAAGTTGTGAATACACAGATAGATAGCTAGGCCAAATTATTCAGCTAGGCAGGGCCAACTTTGAGAAGGAAGTTGATAGGTTGATTAGCAAGCTGCAATGGCAATGGGCCGGACATACGTGTCGCAAAACCGATGGCCGATGGAGCAGACGCTTTTTTTATTTTTTTATTGCTTAGATGGTTGGACGAGCTTACAGCCCTCCTGGTGTTAAGTGGTTACTGGAGTCCATAGACATCTACAACGTAAATGCGCCACCCACCTTGAGATATAAGTTCTAAGGTTTCAATTATAGTTACAACGGCTGCCCCACCTTTCAAACCGAAACGCATTACTGCTTCACGGCAGAAATAGGTAGGGTGGTGGTATCTACCCGGGCGGACTCACAGTAAACCGCGTTCTGGACTGGATCAAATTCAGTGTAGAATTAATTGAGTTAGTATCAGCCCTACGCTTAAGCTTTTGTACTGTATTCACTGAGTCTGAATTGCAAAATAACATATAACTCGTGGCTCGGAGGCATTGTGTGGTTCAAGGGGAGGTTGGTTTGAAACTGGACCCGTATTGCTATCACATATTTCCAGTTGCAAAACCATGCGTGATTACGCGAGCTCACGAGTATTCTCGGTCGATTACCAATTGGTCAATAGTCACACTATGTATTTCACGAAACATTAAATATTTCAGTACTCGGTCAAATTGTTATTTTATTCACGCTACTCACAACCTTGCCTCGCTAAGAACACAGTTCAAATTCAAACATGCACGTAAAAGACCTTCAAGACTTGATATCCTACGGCGATCAATTCGTTCCGTCCCTGAGAAACTCGTCAGGAATGCGGGAACGGTTCTGTCTATACACACCTTTTCTATATTCACAAGCCATGTAACTAACCTTTACAATAAAGAATGTGAATGCTTTATAATAAACACCGGCCAGTAATGTTGTTTTAATTAGTTTTTGATTGTCTTTTATTTCGAATTAATGACGTTTGGTGTTGCATCTTTTGTTGTTCGTCTCTATTTACTTATAGGTCTACCTGTCTCTTCTATAGTAGGTATAGCTATGTTTTTTTTTATTCTGTGGCATGATGGAGAAACACGCCGTCGCGCTGACAATTTTAAAATAAACTAGCTTTTGGCGGTTCAACAAAAACTCTTTCAAATTCAAATTAATTCGTATTATTCCTAATTTGAATTGCATAAAATTGTTTACTACAAATAAAGAGGACATATTTAGGTTCTAATGATTCCTGATTTGATTTTTTCATTCTTATTGTCCGAGCAGGCAGACGATCATACAGCCCACCTGATTGATGTAAGTGGTTACCATCGCTCATGGAGGTCAGCAATGCCAGGGGCAGAACCAAGCCGCTGCCTACCGCTTAATACTAACAAACTCTTAATATCTGATTTGTTAATTATCTGTGTTTTTTTTTATTGCTTAGATGGGTGGACCAGCTCACAGCGCACCTGTTGTTAAGCGGTTACCGGAGCCCATGGACATCCACAACGTAAATGCGCCACCCACCTTGAGTTATAAGTTCTAAGGTCACAAGTATAGTTACTGCCGGGTAGTTGGTGGTTTTTAATGTTATTTTCATTGTTTGTTACAGTCATACGCTGCGGAGAACTCGGCGGGCAACTCGCAGGTCATCCTCGACAGCTTGAACAACAAATATTTCTTCTATACCAGAACGAGAGGTCTTTTCCGCATCTGCTACCCGAAAGAAAGACCGCCTACAGGTAAGGAGATTCAGTAAAACGAGAAACTACAAATACGTATTATGTTGTGAGATGTTTTAGAAGATTCAACGTTATGTCTATGGAGTACGGTACAACCTAAGCAATAGGAGATTCACGATATCGTCTGATCATTTACGACACCTTTTTTCTCCCTACCTATTCTAGTCACCTCGAGGGTTCATGCTAGATTCACAGAACGAGTAGGTGAGCTCACGGAGCTCTAACCTTGTGATGTTACGAACACTAGCCCTAGTAAGAGCAGTGCTTTGCAGAATCTACCATCGGATCGGAAACGCGACCCACTGAGAAGATCCGGCCAGAAACTCAGTGGGCTGTGTCTGAGGGTTAATTATTCGCCGAGCCTTTCGTCGCAAGCGACGGGTTCGGCGAGGACGGTGACCAGTGCTTGAGGTACCTAAAAGCACTGTTAGTGGATCAGGAGGATCCGAATTGACGTGTTTTGGGCGACGTCGACTGTTTACCATTCGGTCCGCAGGATTGGATATGAAAAACTCTCAATTTTAAATTAACATTTTATTTGTGTTTCTTATTTATGTATGTGTGATAAGTCATTTTTGTTTTTTTGTTTTTATTGCTTAGATGCGTGGACGAGCTCACAGCCCACCTGGTGTAAAGTGGTTACTGGAGCCCATGGACATCTACAACGTAAATGCGCCACCCACCTTGAGATATAAGTTCTAAGATCTCAGTATAGTTACAACGGCTGCCCCACCCTTCAAACCGAAACGCATTACTGCTTCACGGCAGCTTCACGGCAGAAATAGGCAGGGTGGTGGTACCTACCCGCGCGGACTCACAAGAGGTCCTACCACCAGTATTCACTTCCGTTATCAGTTCTTACAACTTTCACCTTTGCATCGGTATCTTGTTCAGCCAAATTTATAAACTCTTTAATCTTGTCAGGGACTTCACTCTTTTGTTTTAAGAAATATGCGAATCTGTAAGTGGAATAATCATCTCTCATTAATAAAAAGTATTTAGAACCTCCCAAGGACTCAACCTCCATAGGTCCACAAACATCCATGTGTATTAACTGACATGGGCTCTTTGAAACAGTATCACTTCTCTGAAAAGGTAGTCTGTGCATTTTACCTTCCATACAAGGCATTGCATATTACTATATTGTTTTTATATTTAATTCCATTTTTATTTAAGAACTCCTTGACATACTGAAAGTTTTGGTGCCCTAGGTGCTCATGCCCGATCTGTAAGCTTTCTACTGCTATGGCTATATTAGCAATAGGATTAGAATCATAACTGAAACACATGACAATTTGTTCTCTCTATACCCTGTTGCCACAACTTTTCTTTCCTTATTCTTTATCTCACAATTGAGTAAGTATTTAAATAAATGAATACTAACATTATTATCCACTTACGTCAATAAGCTACTTTTAATTACGGCTGAATACTTGTTAATGAGAAATGGTATGATCAGAGAAATGCTAAACAGTAATATGATTAGTCTAATTGATCGTAACATTGTTTTTCTATCGTTATACAAGCCGTTGCAAAACGTGCTTTATTTAATTAATCTTAAGAATCATTGAAGAGTTTTAGAGGATTCTTCACATATTCAAAAACGAGTTGAAGGAAAATGGACTTTATTGTTTCGGGATAAGTCTGCTGGCTACGACCGGCTAGCGTTGTACGGTATATTTGTCGGCAAATAACTGTTGAACACAATAATCTAAATGATTGTACATGTAGGTTGTTTGTTCCACGCTTTGCTTACTGATACATAGAGATAACGTTACTTTATCGATTTTCCAATATATCTGGATGAAAAGGAAACGGGAATCGATTGTTTCGGCGAACATACATTTTCTTATCACTAAGACTTTCTTCGTACGAGAAGGCATAAACCATGTAGCTTATTGATTTACCACGTGTTTACGAACGAATTTCCCGACGAAGGAATAATTTCGAGTAACAAAAAGCAAACCCACAATGTAATACATATATTTGCGTGATGATTGGTGGTTGGATGTATAAGTGCGGGTAGGATGTTGTTTATTTCTGCCGCAAAATAGTCCAATTTGAGGAGTGGAACAGTCGTTACATTTCCATTACTACTTTCATAATTGTGGTTGGACCTGTTGTGAGTCCGCGCGGGTAGGTACCACCATCCTGCCTACTTCTGCCGTGAAGCAGTAATGCGTTTCGGTTTGAAGGGTGGGGCAGCCGTTGTAACTATACTTGAGACCTTACAACTTATATCTCAAGGTGGGTGACGCATTTACGTTGTAGATGTCTATGGGCTCCAGTAACCACTTAACACTAGGTGGGCTGTGAGCTCGTCCACCCATCTAAGCAATAAAAAAAAGACTTCGATCTAATTTTTCAAGGTCGAAGGTCGTGTTCACGTTGTGACGTTAATGGGCTCCAGTCACCACGGCATTAAGTCAGCAGTAAGCTCGTTCATCAGGGTATCTTCTTCTTCTTCCTGACGTTTTCCCGGTCAAGTGTCAGGGTCCGCTTTCCTACTTAAGCTCCTCCACTTTGCCCCGTCCTCCTTCTGGGTAAGGTTATTCTCCTCCATATCCGCCTTTACCATGGTTCACTTTGTATGCATTTTTTAAAATAATAATAATAGTAAATAAATATATATTTACTAACGATCACGCCACGTTAACTGGTCCCGTGCTAAGTTCGTAAAGAACTTGTGTTACAGGTACCAGATAACGGAATAAAATGTAAGATTTTTATTATACACATACATATTATATATATAATATACATCCATAACCCTGGAAAAGACATTTTATATTTATCATACAAATATTTTCCCTTGGCGGGATTCGAACCCGCTACCCACTTGTGTAGTGACCATGTCACTTATCAATACACCAGACGGCCGTTATAAAATGCTCCTTTTTTATATATAACAGGATTAATATCAAAGTTGAGCTAATCTTATAAATGTGTATATAGTGTTAATCATACAACAACAAGGACTGCTTTACATTCTAACTTAATTTACTACTACTATACAATAAACGCATGCATAGATGTAAAATTTATTATTTCCGTGCTCGCCCACCTGTCCAAGTGAAACTGGAAAGGCCTCCGGGATACCAGTAATTGTTCCTTTCAAAAAAAGTGTATAAATATCAAAGAATTTTTGTAAAAAGAATACACGATGACTAATCTATGCGAGATATTGTAATCTTGAAAATATTTCAATTAAAAACAAAAAAAATTATAATAATAATTCTTTTTTAAATAAATTATTTTTTTATTATTTAAAAACCGTATTTCGATTAAATAAAAACGTGATTCGTCAAAGATTTCACTTCGTAGAACCGGTGTGAAAGTGTTTTTGGATCGATGAACGTGTCATAAAAATATTGTTAAAAAATATGTGCATACATACATATAATATGTTATCGTTTTTGTAACATTACATGCGTCGTTATCGCGTGTTTACTGCAAAAGTATGTATACGATTTTAAAATGATTCTCACTTAAGGAATCGAAATGTTGTAATTAAAAAGAAAGTGCCTTATTTTGAAGTAGGAACTCTATAATGTTAACGTGTTCGGCGAGTACGTAGCTGCTTAAATTTATTTTTTATTTTTTATTGCTTAGATGGGTGGACGAGCTCACAGCCCACCTGATCCTAAGTGGTTACTGGAGCCCATACACATCTACAACGTAAATGCGCCACCCACCTTGAGATATAAGTTCTAAGGTCTCAGTATAGTAACAACGGCTGCCCCGCCCTTCAAACCGAAACGTATTACTGCTTCACGGCAGAAATAGGCAAGGCGGTGGTACCTACCCGTTCGGACTCACAAGAGGTCCTACCACCAGTAATAAACTTCAACAATTCTATGTTTAACTTAAAAACTTAAACAATTATATGTTTAACTGTCTCAGTTTTTTTTTAATTATATTTAATTAAACAATTTTTAACAGGAGCAACACGCATCTACTTTCTAGTCACTGTTAAAATTTTCTATAAGCTTCTATGAATATCAACGAAATACTTTTTTTTATGATTGAGGAATTACTGGTGGTCCGGAGGCCTTTCCAAGTTCACAAGGACAAGGGCGAGCAAGGGCTCAGCCAGAAGGGGCGGGATTTTCTAATAGCTACCCGTGCGCCTCCAAACGAGACCTAACAACTAAAGAGTAGCTGCATCGCGAATGAATCTACTACCGGATCGGAAACGCGACCCACTGAGAAGATCCGGCGAGAAACTCCGTGGGCTGTGTCTATGGTGTGCTGGTGTTATTCTTGATCACTAAGACTCGACTTAGGTGTTATCCGTCAACATTCGAATATACTTCTAGCGTTAGCGTAAAAGTGATTTCGATTACGTCTGCAACTTGTTAAAGCCGAAGAAAATACTATTGAATTCGTCCGAAAAGATTACAGGCTAATAAATAAATTTATTTATTTATTTATTTAGACACACCAACAGCAATACACACAAAACATTCAAGCTTAAAATTAACATGTATAAAATTAAGTACTGCTATGTAAGCCAGTTACAGGCATGTACAGCAATCTCTTATAACACACTATGACATGTTACAGCAATTTTACAAACAGCTGAAAATTAGGCTAAATTTAAATGTTAACAGTACGACAAAAAAAGTATATTTGAAAATAACATGAAAACAAAAGTTAACTACTTAACATTCTCTCATCAATTATAAACAAAGGAACTTAGATACTAGTTTGTTTTTGAGACCAGGACACGTGTCGTTAAAAATGTCGATGCCGTCAATTAATGCACATACAGTCAAACTTGGGTAAGTGAGAACTGGATAAGGGAGAAAACTCTATAAGTGAGAGTAATAAATAGCCAGGAAGGAAAGTTCTGTTCTGCATCATGTCAAAACGGAAAATTAAAGTACTGTCATTAAGTGATAAACTTAAAATAGTGAATGCGTTTGAATTCGGAAAATCGCGATGTGATATTCAGAGGGTGCATTAGCGAGAAACCTCCATAAGCGAGAATGAGATTG